TCTGCAGGTGGTCCCTGAAGGGTAGTCTCTGCAGGTGATCTCTGCAGGGTGGTCACTGCAGGTGGTCTCTGCAGGGTGGTCTCTACAGGTGGTCTCTGCAGGTGGTCCCTGCAGGGTGGACCCCAGGGCAGGTGAGGACTCGGCCTTTTTCTCTGGCCCTGCGGTGAGCAAGCCCATGTGGAGGGCCTGTGTGGAGGCCATTGGGGTTCTGCCACTGGGTGCCAGACAGGAGAAGCTCCAAGTCGGGGGCCCAGACAGAGAACTCATGTAGGAGGCCCGGGTTCGAGCCCTGGCACCGCCCGGAACAGCTCCTCAGGTGTGGGTCGCCCCTGTGCATGGCTGGGCGCTGGCTGCCGGCCGGGGAGGGCAGCCCCGAGCACGGCACCTCATTTCCGCCCCTCATGTCGGGCTGCTCAGCTTCTCAGCCTTCAGGGCAGGCTCAGCGCAGGGCTCAGTTCTCTGCGCCCACCCTAGCATGGCAAACCCGGGCACGAGCCTGTGACTGTTCCGGGTCCCACAGGCTCACCTGAGTGACTGCACACCCCAAGCCAAGGTTGAGCGGCTTAAGAACGATGTCGGAGCTCACACTACGGCTTAAGACAGTCTGGCACAGAGAGCGAGATTAAATTCAGGGAAGTTCTCCTGAATTGTTTCTGCATACACATCACCATCATCATCGTCATCATCATCATCGTCATCATTATTTAAAGGTACTTTTTGGGGGCTGGAGTGGTAGCACAGCGGGTAGGGCGTTTGCCTTGCACGCGGCTGACCAGGCCAACCTGGGTTCGATTCCTCTGCCCCTCTCGGAGAGCCTGGCAAGCTACCGAGAGTATCTCGCCCGCACGGCAGAGCCTGGCAAGCTCCCCGTGACGTATTCGATATGCCAAACACAGTAACAATAAGACTCACAATGGAGACGTTACTGGACCCGCTCAAGCAAATCAATGAACAATGGGAGGACAGTGACAGTGATTATTATTATTATTTAAAGGTGCTTTTTGGGAGCCGGAGTGGTAGCACAGTGGGTAGGGCGTTTGCCTTGCATGCAGCTGACCAGACCGACCTGGGTTCGATTCCTCTGCCCCGCTCGGAGAGCCCGGCAAGCTACCGAGAGTATCTCGCCTGCACAGCAGAGCCTGGCAAGCTCCCCGTGACGTATTCGATCTGCCAAACACAGTAACAATAAGACTCACAATGGAGACGTTACTGGACCCGCTCAAGCAAATCAATGAACAATGGGAGGACAGTGACAGTGATTATTATTATTATTTAAAGGTGCTTTTTGGGGGCTGGAGTGGTAGCACAGCGGGTAGGGCATTTGCCTTGCATGCGGCTGACTGGGCCGACCCGGGTTCGATTCCTCCGCCCGTCGGAGAGCCCGGCAATCTCTCCATGATGGATTTGATGTGCCAAACACAGTAACAACAAGCCTCACAATGGAGACGTAACTGGGCCCGCTCGAGCAAACTGATGAACAACGGGAGGACAGTGCAGCGCACTGAAGTGCTTTTCTGGGGAGGAGGGAGGGCAGGTGGCAACATCTAGGCAGATCTGCTAGTGCGTTATTTGTTCATCCAGGCGCAGTTGCTGAGAACAGCTGGGAGTCAGAGGCGGGAGAAGGGCGCTTAGGGCTCACATCAGCACACTTTCCGGAGAGCACACTTTCCGGAGCACCCCAGGAGCCCTCAGGAAGTGAGCGAGAGGAATAAGGGGAACAGAAGGCGTCTGATGGGCGCTTCCCCGCGTCTATAGTGAGGGGACTCGGGGAAACACAGCAGCTGACGTGGCCCGTGGGGACACTGAGGCAGGGTCAGGCCCCCTGAGGTGGGGGAGGCAGCGCCCCCATCCCGGAAGAGGGGAGCAGGGCCAGGAGTGGGCCTTGAGACTCGCCCTAGTCCCCAGCATTCACAGGATTCCACGAGCAGCCTCTGGAGTGGCCCCCTGCGCACAAAAAAAGTACAAACCAAAAAACAAAATAACACACAAAAAACCAAACAACCAAGCAGAAGAGAGGAAAGCCAGGCAGCAGTGGAGTGTCCGCAGCCTCCCAGCCGGGGGAGCAGGAGGCCAGGGCTGAGTCATAAGGGGCCGGGTGCCAGCTCCCAAGCACAGTGTGGACTCGAAAGCCGGAGAGGCAGGAGGCGGAGTGGGCTGTCTGTCGGGGAACTCAAGGTGGACGAGGTGGACGGTCTCCCTGACCCGAGAGTCACGGAAGCAGCTTCCCCACAGAAGGGCTAGTGGGGGCCAGCGACTCGGGAGACGGTGCCAGCACGAAATGGCCTTTCTCAAGCACAGAAACACCGACAGTCTGAAAGGCGGCAGGGCCCGCGCTTAGAGCTCCAGGCCCTTCCCTGGGCTGCTGCCTGGCGAGCTGGGAAGGACCGTTTTGCTGCAGTTTGTTCCGTCAGCCCTGTAAACCTCACCAAGGCCAGAACACCTGCTTTCCTATCGGCTTGGGGCGGCACGCACAAACGCCAACCTCCTCGGCCGAGTTCTGAGAAGCTCCCCCAAGGCACGGTCCCGTGCAGGGACCACAGGGCCAGACTGGTCCCGGGCGCCACTCACTGGGCAGGAGAAACGCAACCCTCCTCCCTGGGAGAACCCTGACCCCAGCCCGTGTCCCGGGAAGCACGCCACATGTCCAGGCTGGAGGGCTGACGGGGAGGCGGTGGTCGAGGCCTGCAGATGGAGCGGCAGCTACGGAGAACCGGGCTCACGCCGAACAGCTGGGAGAGGCCCCCAGGTGGAAGGTTCCGGAAAGTCTGGAGGGTTGGAAGGGGCAGTGGGGGCAGAGGCAGTGGGGTACGGTGGTGAGGGGTGAGGTAAGCGGGCCCCAAGGCACTGGGCAGAGGCAAGCCCAGAATTGTAAGGTGACCGAAGGGCCACTACGTGGTTTTAAGTCAACCATGGGTCCACTGGGGGCTGGAAAGATAGCACAGTGGGTAGGGCGTTTGCCTTGCATGCAGCTGATCCAGGTTCGATTCCCAGCATCCCCTAGGGTCCCCTGAGCACCGCCAGGAGTTATTCCTGAGTGCAGAGCCAGGAGGAGCCCCTGTGCATCATTGGGTATGACCAAAAAGCTGTCACTGTCCTCCGGTTGTTCATCGATTTTATCGAGCGGGCACCAGTAACATCTCCATTGTGGGACTTGTAGTTACTATTTTTGGCATATCGGATACATCACGGGTAGTTTGCCAGACTTTGGCAGAATACTCCCAGTAGTTTGCCGGGCTCTCTGAGAGGGGCAGAGGAATCGAACCCAGATCGGCTGCATGTAAGGCAAATGCCCTATTGCTCCAGCCCAAAAAAGCTAAAAAAAAAAAAAAAAAAAAAAGGGAAATGATAAAGCAAACATCATTCTAAAAAGAGATCATGAACCAGCCGTGATAAAGTACCCGTCTGACCTGACATGGCCAATTTTGGGTGAAGCCACTTCCATATAAAAACACTCACACACGATGTGGCTTTGTGGATGCCACACCACTTTTCCACACAAAGAAATGATTCGATTCCTTAAAAAAAAAAAAAAGCTCCTTAATGCAGCCAGCAATCGTTGGCTATTCATATACACGGTCTGAAGTGAGGGAAGGGACGCGTGCGTGCGTGCGTGCGGTCCCAAAGATAATACTGTGTTGGGTCGGCTCCACGTTGGCTGCCAAATTACTGTAATAATCGACTCCCACGCATCTTCCTCCAGCGCTCACCTTTCCGGCACCCGTGATTGGTCCTTACGGAGAAGGGGCCAGCTTCCTAATGAAGGGTGTTGGGAGGCTGGTCAGAAGGGCCTGGCGGGGAACTGTCACTCACTGCCAGCCTATTGTCCCCGTGGAACAAGGCGTGTCAGAGGAAGAAGCCAGCGTGCGTGACTAAACGGGGGCCGGGCTTGGTTGTGAGAATCTGAGAATAACAGTCATTATGGCATTAATAATGAGAGGGGGACCGAATTCCACGCTACTCGCAGGCTGGCTTTAAGCTATTACGAAGTTACGAGCAGACTCACCCCGCTGCCGACGGGAGAGAACTGTGAGAGAAAGGAAGAGCACTCAGCTTTGAGCCCCCACCAGCAGCAAACCCAGACGGGTCACTCGCCATCCACGTGACACACGGGCTCCCTTGTCAGGATACTCTGATGGGGCCTCGGGTGAAAATGCACAAATGCAGGGCGCAATTGTGTAAGGCCAGGGGGCCACGCAGCAGAATGGGGGTGCGCACAGGAGGGATAGGAGGTCAGCAGGGTTGCCACGGCCGGAAAAAAGGTGAGAAACACAGTTTTTATGTGGTCTCTTCCTCGCAGGGAAACATCAGTCCGAGGCCCCTAGAATCAGCCAAGCGAGGCGGAGAAAGTTCGGTGTCCTCACGCTCGGGCTGAGCGTCACCCACAAGTGAACCTAATTCCTGGACCACGTGGCCGTGAATGTTCATACCACACACCCTACCCATCCTCCAGGAGTACCACATCACGTTTGATGGAGCTTAAAGTAGGAGGCAACCAAGCTCAGAGGGGAGTATTTATTTTTTTTAGATTAAAAAAATAAATAAAGCACACAAGGCTCAACCTCTAACAACATGTAAGTGATCTCTTATAGAAGGGCTTAATGGCCCCTGGGTGAAATACAACAATCTTCAATCTTCACCCTCTTTCCTCTAAGGATACTTTTTGGGGAGCATTTTCAACTTTTTTTTTTCATAAGGAACAATACAAAATATATTATTTTGATTCTGCTCTGGGCCACTGGATTCCATTCCTGAAGGATGGAAACATCTGAAACATGGTGATGGGAAGGTGTCATGGTGGAGGGATTGGTGTTCGAATATTAAATGTAATCAAATATTGTGAACTACTTTATAAAATAATTATTAAACAAATAAAAATAATGAACAATAAATTTTTTTTTAAAAAAAAAGGAAAGTTCGGTGCCCTCCCAGCTGGCCCCGTGTGGGTCATTCTATGGGAACCCCCTGAGGCGGCACTCGGGGGCTTGTGGATGGCCACTCACCGGTCGGCGGGGGACAGTCCTTCCAGTCGAAGTAGCCAGCGTAGATCCCGGGCTCCAGGGAGCCGACGATGGGGTCCGCTTTCAGCTCGATGTAATTTTCAAAGAGTTTCTGGTCGAGTTCCTTCAGGGAGGCCATGCTGACCTGTGGGTGGGAACAGAGGAGATTCTCACTCTCCGGAGGGTGCAGAAAGCTGGGACACAGCGTGGGCCACCAAAAGGATCCCACAGACATGTGCCTTGGGCTGCGTGCTCCCTCGGTGGCGAGGGCTGTCCCTGGCACACGGGCCAGAAGGAACGCCCGTTACCCAAAGGCTTGGAAGCCCACGAGGGTGACCTTCCTGGTGGCAGGAGTTTGCTCCAGCCTGATAAGGAAGTAGCTGGTGGTACTGGCACCCCAATGACCCAGAAGTTGGGGGTGGCACCCCGAGTCTGGGAAGCTCTGAGACATTAGGGGGCCTAGAGGCTGGTCTGTGACTCCACCTGGCGCCCAGGGTGGGAGCTGTCTCCAGCATGAGCCCTGAGCTTCTCTGAGCCCCTGAAAAGCAAAGAAAACCAAGAGAGCCAGACACCGTGAATGGGGCTATAGGGACTGGGTGGTGGGTTTCAGCTGGGAAACAGAGGAAGCGGCGACTCTGATAAACAGACAGACACACGTCCCGGGCCAGGGCGAGAGCACAGCGGGGAGGGTGCTTGGCTTGCTTACGACTGACCCGTGTTCGATCCCTGGCATCCCATATGGTGTCCTGAGCCCCTTCAGGATTAATTCCTGGGTGCAGAATTGGGAGTCAGCCCTGAGCACTGCTGGATGTGGCCCCCAAACCAAACAAGAAAAAGAGACAAAAATCCTAACAAACTACGGATGGGTAAACTGAGCCGGTAAGTAATCAGTGTGCAACACACATAGTGAGGTGATTTCCAAAGATGAAGAAACAGAATTCTGTTTTGTTTTCTGTTTCTGAGACTACCAAGCAGGGCTGGGGCAGGGGCGGAGGTCATGCTGGCGGGGGGAAGGGGGGGGTCCCCGTGCAGGCATGTGGTGCTGGGGATTGAACCCTGGTCTCCACACGCCGAGTCTCCACGCAGCCTGTGGCAGCATCCTTCCAGCCCCAGGAGGATGCTCTGTTGCACGTCCCCTCACCGTTTCCAGTCAGACTATCCCGCGAGTGTCAGAAAAGCAAAGGAAACCAAGAGAGCCAGACACTGTGCTGTGTCTTGTACAGCCAGACAGCTGTACAAGAGCACCTCCTTGTCAGAAAAGAACCCCGTCTTTTCGAGACCGATTAGAATGCTCTCAGAATACACAGAAGCGGGACAACAGTAGCGAACACCAGATAATAATAAAAGACAGTTCTCAGGCCTGGAGAAGTGAAGTCCATGATGCTTGTGAGAAGGGGCTGACGTCACTGGGTAGCAGACGCCATTGGAACAAGACTGGCTAAATAAGTATAAGTCAGAGAGGGTGTGAGCAATGGGGATACTCAGCCCCCAAGGACCGTCGCTCTGTAGACCATGGAGACGTGCGCTTTCAGCAACGCTCCCCCTCCTCCCCGCCCCGGAACCCACCACCACTCACTGCAGCCAGGATGAAGCACATCTCAAGACTTGATCCTATTACACACAGAAGCTTGTACCTCCCCTGTCCCTAACCCCCGTCCCCCATTTTGCCCTGGCTGGACCCCCTACCCCCCACCCCCCACCGGCAGATTCAACCTGCTGTCTTGATTCGTTTGCTTTTAAGATTTCTCATGTAACTAACATCAAATGGTATTCTGCCTTTCCCTGACAAAAATTAAATATAGGGATGAAGATATTTGCCTTGCGTGTGGCTGACGCAGGTTTGATCCCCAATATCGTATATTGGGGCATATCCCCAATATGCCAGCACCACCAGGAGTGACCCCTCCCCCCCACCAAGCACAGTTAAAAGTAAGCACTGTCGCTGCTGGGACCCCGGACTGGGGCACCTGCCTCCACTTCTGCAGCGAGCACCAGCCCAACTAGTCGCCGCCCCCACCCCCCAACACGTCTGTACCTGCGTTGGTGCCCCCTTCCCCACCCAGACCTGTGCCACAGTTATAGTTCCCACTTCTAGCACCCTCCACTCACATCCCAACCACCATGACCTAATTCTGTGGAAAACGTCCTGGCTGCCTCAAACACAGTAGGACAATAATCCACCGGCCTACATCCATTCCAAAAAAAGATCAGTGGACCCCAGAAGCTGTACAAGTGCACCTCCTCCAACGCTTTACTGGATGCCTATCATAAAAGTAAAAAGTAAAGGCCCTCCCATTGATCATCGATTTGCTCGAGCGGGCCCAGTAACGTCTCCATTGGAGACTTTGTTGTTACTGTGTCTGGCATATCAAATACTCTCGGTAGCTTGCCGGGCTCTCCGAGAAGGGCGGAGGAATCGAACTCGGGTCGGCCATGTTGGCCGCGTGCAAGGCAAACGCCCTACCCGCTGTGCTATTGCTCCAGCCCTATCATAAACCACAGAATAATGTCTGAGAGGAAGGACATATTCTAGAAGGGGAGAAGGGTGACCACCATTGACCGACCTTATTCAAAATCCTTTCCTGCAATAAGAGGGAACAGCACTAGTGAACTTCAAGGTTTTGCCTCTATACAACCACAACAGCATGAAGAAACAGCGCAAGTCTCCACTATGAGGAGAGGACAAAGAAAAGAGTCCCGAATTCTCAACAGGGGTTACCCACAAATACATTCTCTCCGATGAGGAATTCCGAGGTGAAATGCTGAGGATGTTCAAGGAACTACTCAAAGAATCAATGAAGCAGACATCCAGAAAATTAAAAAGAAGAAATGAAAGAAACAGTGGAACAGATAGTCAAGAAAATACAGAAAGAAATGAGAGCAGAAATAAAAAAGCTACAAAAAGAAGTGTCACACATAAAGGATTCGGTAGATGAAATTAAAAACTCAGTGGGTGCCCTCGGCAGTAGAATGACTACAGCCGAAGACAGGATCAGTGAGCTGGGAGATGAGCAACAGAAATCATATAGACAACAACAAACAATGGGAACAGACCTCAAAATAGCTCTAAGGTGAATCAAAGATCTAGGGGATGACGCCAAGAGGAAAAATATTAGAATCATCGGAGTATCAGAAGGACTGGGAGGCAACCCCAATGAAAAAGCCACAGTCAAAGAAATCATTGCTGAAACGTTCCCAGAGTTAAAAAATGCAGACATCCAGATCCAAAGAGCCAGAAGGGTGCCAGCTAAAAGAGACCCTAATAAAAACACTCCACGGCATATCATAGTCAGAAAGATGGATGCCATGGACAGAGACACAGTACTGCAAGCAGCAAAGTCAAAGAAGAAAATCACATACAAAGGGGCACACCTTAGATTTACAGCAGACCTATCAGAGGAAACCCTCCAAGCCCAAAGACAATGGTGGGATATAGTGAAAAAAAAAACTCAATGAAATGAACGCCTTACCAAGAATACTTTATCCAGCTAAACTGTCACTCAAACTCGATGGAATGATACACCATTTTATAAATAAGCAACAGCTCAGGAACTTCATAGACTTAAAACCAAACCTAAAAGAAGGATTAAAGGGGCTGCTGTAAGATAAGAAGTAAAATACTTATAAGCACAACCAACCCTACAGAAAGATGGCACAAAACCCCATGACAATAATTTCTCTCAGTGTCAATGGTCTAAATGCACCAATCAAGAGACAAAGAGTAGCAAAATGGATCCAGAAACTGAAACCAACATTCTGCTGTCTATAAGAAACTCATCTGAACAGTCAGAGCAAACACAGACTCAAAGTTAAAGGATAGAAAACAATCCTGCAAGCAAACAGCTCCCTCAAAAAGGCTGGGGTGGCCATACTAGTAACCGACAACATAGATTTCAGGTTGAAGAGGATTAGAAGGGACAGCGAAGGCCATTTTCTGTTTATCAAGGGATACACACAACAGGTAGAAATCACACTTAAATGCATACATACCTAGTGAGAGACCAGCTAAATACTTAAAACAACTGCTAACAGATTTTAAGGAGGACAATACTAGCAACATAATAGTGGTCAGAGACTTCAACATCGCCTTATCACTTCTGGATAGATCAACAAGAACAAAACTCAGCAAGGAAACATTGGCTTTGAAGGAAGAAATAGGAGAGGGATAATAGACCTATACAGGACTTTACATCCCAAGAAGAAAGAATACACATTCTTTTCCAGGGCACATGGAACATTTTCCAAAATAGACCATGTGCTAGGCCACAAAACATACCTCAATAGAATCAGGAAGATAGAAGTAGTATCAGCCATCTTTTCAGACAACGATGAGCTGAAGATAGAAATGAATCACACAAAGACACCAAGAAACAAATCACACACCTTGAAATTAAACAACTCAATGTTGAACAATGAATGGGTCAGGAAGGAAGTCAAGGATGAAATCAAAAGATACCTGGAAACGAGTGAGAATGAAGACATGAGCTATCAGAACCTGTGGGATGCAGCTAAAGCCGTGTTAAGAGGAAAATTTATAGCTTTGCAAGCATTCCTAAGGAAGGAAGAAAGGGCTCACATAGATAACCTGACCTCACAGCTCAAGATCTTAGAAAAAGACCAACAAAAGGAACTGAAACTTGGCCGAAGGAAAGAAATAATAAAACTTAGACCAGAAATTAACGACATGGAAACCCAAAAAACAATCCGAAAGGTCAATGAAACCAAGAGCTGGTTCTTTGAGAAAATATACAAGATTGATAAACCACTAGTAAGACTCACAAAGAAAGAGAGAGAGAGAACCCTAATAAACCGAATCAGAAATGAAAAAGGGGACATCACAACAGAAATCAGTGAAATTCAAAAGACTATCAGAGACTACTTAAAGAGTCTGTATGCCATGAAACAAGAGGAACTAGAAGAAATGGATAAATTCCTGGATTCCTATAACCTCCCAAGATTGAACTAAGAAGACTTGGGATACCTGAATAGACTCATTCATATCAAGGAAATTGAAACTGTAATCAAAAGTCTTCCCAAAAACAAAAGCCCACGCACAGATGGATTCACTAGTGAATTCTTCCAAACATTTAAAGAATACCTATTTCCAGTTCTCCTCAAGCTTTTCCAGGAAACTGAAAAACCAGG